GTAGTGTAGACCAGGCCTAACTGTGAGTTTGAATCAAGTTGCAGAGTTGCATCCTAAACTGGCTGCACAGCCCATGGAAACTGAGGCCCATATATTACACAAACACATAGAGCGGATATGGGTGTGAGACAGAATCATGGAACCATCAACACCAACATATGGCTGTAAATAAACAAAGAGGAATAAGTTAATCTACTTCTCTTAAGACATTTGCAATACTCCACTAAGTATCTGGCAGCCTTGTACAGAAAGGACATTGAGATGTTCCAGAGGCAGTCAACAAGAATGATAATAAGGCTAAATTATTAACTTGAGCAGAGAGGCTGCAAAAACTCAGATACTATATACTAAAAGTTAAGCTTTTCAAGTACTCAATGTGGAAGCTTCATAGACTAACACAGCAAAAGCTAAGCACTAAGCAAACAAAACATTAAGCGTGAGCTGGACAGTTACTGCACTTTGCAGGAGGAGAATATGAGTTCCGTAAATGATACCTTATTGGCTGTGACTCGTTGGGGCATGAATTGTGCCTGCCTCTATGTTTGCACAGCACTTTGCATAAAGGAGCCCATAGCCCATAATTCAGTGTTTCTCAAACTGGGGTCGCCGCTTGTGTAGGGACCAGCATGACAGTACAGTAGTAGGCATATCCCGAGGGAAAAAAACTCTGGCCTTGGCATTTTTTAAACCAAAGGCCCTAGTCTCCCATCACAGGAGAAATTCATTCTTTCAGCAGAGAATTAAACACTTGGATATAGTTCTCACCTCACAATATCAAGCACCCTCAAGCTATTAAGTGGTTGTACTGCCTCTCCTTACTCCAACTGGAACAGGCAATTGTCTTTCAGCAACAGTGAGAATGTCTGGTAGTGAGGTAGCTGAGTAGAGCTGGATGATAAATGATTTTCCCATCCCATGACTATTTTTGAGAATTCAAAAATTTTTTCCATCCCAAATTGAGACAGAAGTCACAAAGTTTTCCAATTTGCATCAATCCAAATGTTCCACTGTGATTCTGACTTTTTTTTAACCTTTGTCAATCACAATTAGCTTAAATTTTAAAATAAAAAGCTATTTCAAAAGTGAAAACCAGAATTCTTCATTTCTAAAATATCAAAATTTTGACAATTTTGAAAAAAATTTCCCCAGAAGCTTTTCGAGTCAGGAGAATCATCAAAACTGACCCTGTTTTGTGAACAGTTTCCGTTTTAATCAATCAGCATTTTTTTTTATGAAAAACATTTTATTGAAAAATTCCCAACCAGCTCTATAGCAGAGCTGAATGCAAGTGGCTTCCAAACCACACTTTTCTCTGTAATGATTCTAAGCTGACAGTAGTTATAAGTGAGACCACAATTTGAAACACTTTCAGTGACATTATTTCATCAGCCAAAGTCTGTATTAGTTTCCTTGAGTTTCTCTCTGCAATTTTAAATGAACTTATACTTTTGGGATCTATTTACAAGCACAGTCATTTGGAGTTGGGTGGGGAGGGGCGGGAATTACCAATTCTGACAATCATTTTTATTATATTTAAGTGAACATTTTTATGTTATAAATACTATTTCTCCTATATATTTCAAGTTACAGATTCATACCTTGTTCTACTTGAATGAAATAGTAGTTTGCATAAAAAAAGAAAATATTTGTTTTATTGACCTTACAATGATATATTTATGTTCATAAAAGATATGATAGTGTGATATCAGCCTTACCTTACCATTATAATAAAAGCTTAGAAGAATAGCTGCTGCATTAAGCCAATGGAGTAAACAAATACTTTATCCCAAGTATGTCACATACAAGGACACTGGAACTCAGATTTTTCTTGTTCTTTCATCTTTCTATTAGTGGAGTCAGAAGGCAGATACAGTACTTGTCTAACGGACACTGGCTCAGGTCCTTGGTGCTATAAAGTCAATGGAATGCCTCTTGGTTTCAATAGCCATTGGATCATACCGTTAAAGCATAAATTAAGACACTTTTCTTAAACAGGAATTTTTATGAGTACTTTCCACCCACCAGTAAATACTCATGAAATAAATTCTTACTTCATTCAGCATGCTGATTGTTAGTGCTGCCACACAATGCCATCTGCCGGTTCTCATGAGAAATAAAGTTTGATGGACTCAGCCCACTGACACTATGTTAGCTATACATATTAAATCTTCCTGCTGTAAGTTCATGATTGTTATAAATAACCAGTCGCATGACAGTTGGAGTTCTGCTTGAAGACCCACCTCTTTAAGACAACTCCCAGTTTTCATTTTAAAAAATTCTAGCACTCAAGCTTAAGGAGAAAAGCTTGTAAGTGGGACCTGAGTACACCCTAAAGGTGAAAAACCAGAAGACAAAAAGAGACCACAAAAATTCCTCTTTAAAATATCATGATTCTTTCGGGCCTGACTCATGATTTTTGAATACTTGGGATTGGCCATACTCTTTACTGTTAGTTCCTATCCTGTGCATAAATTATCATTGTTTATGGAATAGTCACTTCTCTACATTGGGTTAAAGCCAATCTATTTTTATGTTTCCTTTAAAAAAAAAAGGCACCCCTGAATCTTATAGTGATCGAAAGCAAAGTGAAGATGGCCACTCTTCACCCTCCACTCTTGAACAGTAAAGGACAGTTTTACCACAGTGGCTCAGGGCATACCTTTATATACAGTCCATTAAGGGTTCAATTCACCTGTATGTGGAGGGCCTTCACCATCCTATGCACCATTTTAAAACCCATTTAAACCTTCTCGGGTGTCTGGTTGGTGGGTCTTGCCCACACACTCAGGGTCAAACTGATCACTTTCAGGGTTAAACTAGTGTAAATGCTGAATTCTCCGTAACTTGAAATCTTTAAACCATGATTTGTGTACTTCAGTAATTCAGCCAGAGGTTAGAGGTCTATTACAGGAGTGGCTGGGTGAGGTTCTGTGGCCTGTTCAGATTCATGAGGTACAATTTTCCTTTTCAAAAGCTGTGTTGACTCTTCCCCAACATATCCTGTTTTCTATGTGTCTGATAATTCTGTTCTTTACTACAGTTTCAACCAGTTTGCCTGGTACTGAAATCAAGCTTACCAGCCTGTAATTGCCAGAATCCCCTCTGGAGCCTTTTTTAAAAAATTGGCGTTACATTAGCAATCCACCAGTCATCTGGTACAGAGGCTGATTTAAGCAATAGGTTACATACCACCGCTCTGCAATTTCATATTTGAGTTCCTTCAGAACCCTTGGGTGAATACCACCTGGTCAATGACCAGTTCTAAATAAATTGTCATGCACACTTTAATATTTGTATTTTATAATCTTGAAGCTTTGCCAAGAATCACTCTCTTTACTTGGTTCAGCAAGTTTATTATTGTGCAAAAACACGAAAAACTTATTGTCTAGGTTTTTGTCCAACAAAAGAAAGTTTACTTGTTTTTATATGCTGTGTGCAAAACCTTCTGGCACTCAGTAGCCTGAATGTTAATTAGTCTGAGGAGGGGAAAATAAGCACAGTTTTAAAAAAATGTACATTATGTAGTGAGCTTAAACTGCCACGTCTATTGTATGTTTTGTGCTTGCTCTTCTGTGTAATGTAAATATTTCTAACAGTCAGCAATATAGAAAGAATACATAGTGAGTCCAACTAGTTTCTTTTCACTGGAAATGTATGCCAATGAGCTTAAAAAAGTCAAGTTCTAAGTGGAATCCATGAATTTCTCAATCACTTTTGCACAAGTACGCCATACAATTAACCAGCTTATTAATCATGAGAGAAGATACTGAATCTAGGATGAATTTTGGTAGGGCAAATGGTGATATTCTTTAAATATTAATATTAATGTGAGCTGCATTGCTAACGACCTGCATACCACAATGCAAAAATGTGCCACTCTGCATTTGCTCCCATTTCCATGTTAATTGAGCTTGTATTCCTGAGATACTGAGGACCTCCTTCACTGTGAGTAGTGTTTTATTCCAAAAGTAGGCTAATTGACGTCAGTGGGATTGCTCATGCTGTAAAACACTGTTCAATGCAACTAGGGTATTGCAAGCTGGCCCTGAGGTTTTCTGTAACCTCCATGGCTATTTTGTTTGATACGCTGCGCTAAATTTCTCCCCATAGACAATGGAGCCCCTTTTCTTTAAAATTAAGAAAAAATACTGCATCTGAAGAAGTGAGGTTCTTACCCACGAAAGCTTATGCTCCCAATACTTCTGTTAGTCTTAAAGATGCCACAGGACCCTCTGTTGCTTTTTACAGATTCAGACTAACACGGCTACCCCTCTGATACTTGAAAAAATACTGTAACTCCAAAAACATTTTGCTAAAATGCTAGTATTTTGAGTCACCACAACCTTACTTCTCAAATGTAAATGTAATATTGTACATGCAGTTTAAACTAGGCCTAAGGCTTACTAGCAAACACTACAAGGGCTTTAATGAAATGAAGAAATCTGTCCAAGAGGGATTCCATATGCCGGACCTACCTAGCATGGAGAAATTTTCCCTTCAAAACTGAATTACCATTATCCACATCCATACATACAAACTCACTGCAGCTCAGAAGTGCAATTGGTACACGATAGCTCTCCGTTCTGGGAAGAGGACTCTGAAGTCCCAGTTTTAGGAGTCTCTCAGTAGAAGACCTTCAACTATGGAACTCACTTCCTCTTACTGGGGAGTACAGCTTGCTGCCCTTCAAGGATGAGGGTAAGATACATCTGTTTAATTAGCGTTGGTTTTAGAGTGCTGTGATGAGATGGGTGCTAGCCAGTTAATTTTGTCATTACACCATGATAAGAAAACATGTTTTGGCCACCCAGTAGGGATTGTAGTGTTCTTATCATGCTATTCAAGATGTCCAGCTCCTATGGTGACAGATGACATGTAAATAACTGCAAAATAATAGTTTGCAAAGGGGTAGCTATGGGTGGGCTGGGTATTGTTTCAAGTACAGCCAACATCTCCAAGCAAGACCAACTGTTACTGTTTGCCTACAAACTCCAAAGGAACAAACCAGAAGTCGCTTGAGGAAAGATGCATTCAGTTTCTGTGTGGTTTTAGTACAGCATAAAAATCTCCAGACTGATTCTTGACTGTATATTTATACCTGCCTCTGGAAATCTCCATTACATGCGTCTGACGAAGTGGTCATTCACCCACGAAAGCTTATGCTCCAATACATCTGTTAGTCTTTAAGGTACCACAGGACTCTTTGTTAGTATTTTATTGCAGCATCTAATTTTATCAGAAAGAAACCTGCATCATAAACCTCACCACCTTCCACTGTAAGTGCAAGGTGCCCTTCTTTGATCTGTCTTCTCTAACTTAAACACACAGCAGCATCCACATTTAAAAAACAAACAAACACAAAAATAACCCTACCAAAACAAACAGGACATGTAATTCTCCTCCCGGGGAGAGGAGGAGAGAACAAATCACACATAACAGATATTAGTCATGTCACTTCATGTACTACTAGAAGGTACCCAGATACTAAGATGATGAGGGCAGTATAAGAACCTATAATGAATAGAAAGTATGAATAGCTAACTTCTGGGGGCATTCTGCACACAACAAAAAAAAAAAATCTGCGCACAATATTTTAAAATTCTGCAACTTTTATTTGTCAATAAGTAAATGCAGAGGCTCCAGCATGGCAGTGGGCAGCACAGGCCACTGGCTGCACGAAGGTGGGAGATCACCCTGCAGCTCCCCCAACCCCCGGGACATGGACTCAGCAGTGAGGCTGCACCTGACCCTGATATAGCACATAGCCTGCCCCAGAAACACCCTGGGACTCTGCCCCTCTGAGCCAGGTGCACCAGATGTGGGCAGGCAGGCTCAACCAGGCAGGATCCAAGCATGGAGGGGCTCAGTGTAGGCTCGTTGGGAGGGTTCCAGATGCAAGGGCAATGGGACTCTACAGGGGGTTCCAGAGAATGCCCGGCAGTGGACTGCAAGGCAAGGCTGCACCGGAGAGGCTCATGCTCGAAAACAGCCCTCTGGTAAACTGACGGTCCCATGGAGATTAACAGGGTACAGGTCCCCACACTCATGGACTTGGGATGTAATCAAACTCATCTGGCAAGACCTCATCACCACCCCAAATCCACAGGGAGAAGTCATCCAATTACAGTTTATTGACAGGGACGTGAAGCCCTACCCCAGCACTCAATTCATCATGACAGTGGACAGCGAGATCAGAATCATGATGGTAGGCCTAGCCTACCCAGTCATCCGCAGCTGTGACTGGAAGGGATTCACAAGGGTTCTACACACTACAAACCCTGAGCCAGGCAAACCAGAGCCCATGTTTGAGGGGGGACCCCCTCGAGGAAATGGGGGAGACAGCTGGTAATCATGACACTGACTTTGAGGGACCCCAGGACACCGAGCTCGACAGCCCTGATGAGAAGGCAGACCCCGTTCATCAACATGGGGAGGATCCACCAAACTTGGAAGCCAACTTTGGCCAAAACCAGTGAGACGACTCTACGCTCAGTCAAGCGTACAAGCAACTGGCCAGCATAAATGGAACGATCACAGAGCCCCGATTGGCAACACAGTATCCCCAGTTTGAGCTAAAAGAGGACTGTCTATACTAGGTTGACCCTGACCCGCAAAGTCAAGAGGCCCAGACCCTTGTGCCCTGGTGCCACAAGCAAGCTGTCATGAGGTTCAGTCATGATGTCCCTGCTGCTGGGCACTGGGCCATGAAAAGACGTTGGTCCAAATTTTGGCCCATTATTTTTGGCCAGGAATTCACCGGGAAGTCAAAGACTTTTGCAGCTCCTGTCCAGACTCCCAGCTTATCACTCCATAGTGAGCACCGAAAGCCACATTACTCCCACTACTCATGGTGGAGGTACTCTGTGAGAGGATCACCATGGAACTGGTGGGACCTCTCAAGAGAAGTTTCAGATACATTTTGGTGATCCTGGACTCTGCTACCCACTTCCCTGAAGCAATCCCCCTCCGTAACATCACAACCCAGACCATTGCTGTGGAGATATTCGAGGTCTTTGCTCGGGTGGATCTCCCACAAGAAATCTGGACAGACCAGGGCACAAACATCACATCAAAGTTGCTTAAGCAAGTCCGCAACCTGTTGGACATTGAGATGATTCAGACGTCCGTTTATCACCCTCAAATGGATGGCTTAGTCGAATGTTTCAACAGAACCCTCAAGGGCATGCTTTGGAGATTTTTCCTGACAGAGCTTCTGCTACTCACAATCTGGGAAGTTCACCAATCATCAACCAAGTTTTCTCCATTTGAGCTGCTTTATGGGAGGCAGCCATGGGGAGTCCTGGACCTGGTGTGTGAGAGCTGGGAGCAGCTTATAATGAGCTGCTTCCCCATTATAAGGTCTCCTGCAGTACATCCTCTGACTGCACCCAACTTGAGAAGGTGGGGGCCTTAGCACGCAAGAATCTTCACAACACTCAGAAGTCACAGGAGCAGGCATACAACCAGGGAGCCAGGAAATAGCCTTTGAACCAGGGGACAAGGTTCTCCTGTTACTCTCCTCTGAGGAGTCAAAACTGCTCGCCCAATAGCAGGGGCCTCATGAAGTGATCTGCCAAGTGGGGCCAAAAACTATGAAATCCAGCAGCTGGACAAGAGGGAGAAATGACAAATATACCACGTGAACATCTTGAAACCCTGGCGGGATCGGAAGGGGTTGCTGACTGCCCCTTATAGCCCTGAGGCAGAGTTGAGCTCAGCTAACCTTTTCCCTTGCAGGAAGTAAAAGAACAGGGCCCTGGAGCTCAGCTGGGGCCAGACCAGGGAAGGAGCCAGACGTCCTTCCCAGAGAGCCAAACTGTCCACGCAGCCCATGACCAGCTGTGGCGGGCGACAACTCTCCTGAGCTGGCCTGGAGTCAAGACAAGCCACTGACCCAGGAGACTCAGGAATCCAAAGAGGAAGTAGAGAGTGAGCCGTTCAACAAGGAGACTGGGAACCAGCGGCCACAGAGCAACCCAACCAGATGCCAGTAAGAAGCAGCCCAGAGAAACGAGACTTTAGTCCTGCTGAGTTGCTGAGAGGTGAGGCAGTAACCCCACATTCCCCTGCCAATGCAGCAACAGGATCACCCATTGCTTCAAGGATCCTAGGCTGGGACCCGGTGGTGCAGGGTGGGCCCAGGTCCCCTTGCGCACACTCATGGCTGGAGGCCAGAGCCAGTGACTGTTTGTTTGCTCAGCCCACACCCAGGAGGCCTGAGCTAGTGACTGTTTGCTCAGCCCTCAGCCAAGAGGTGTGAGCTACCAACTGTTTATTTACTCAGCCCACACCCATGAGGCCTGAATTATTCACTGCCAGTTCATTCAGCCCACACCCAGGAGACCTGAGCTGTTGCTCATTTAGTTGCCCCACTGCAAGCCAGAACTCCCAAGCAACAGATCTGGCGTAGGCGCTTAGTCTCCGACGCTATTCCTGAGAAGCAGGAACCTTACAACATTGCAGTGACCAGTGTGGACGCAACTTTCATTTCACTGCACCTTGTTGCTACACATGGAGTGCCTGTACGCTATACACCACCATCCATGTAGACACAGCCACAGATGCAATAACAGGTCCCTGAGTTATAGTGACACTAGCAGGTTCAAATTTAAAAACACATACATCAGAAGATCACCTAAAATTACTCACCGTCTCAAAACCCCGATGGGGGTGATCAGGAAAGCCAGCTGGTTTGCCTCCTTTGAATTCATCAAGCAACAAAAAAGGATCCACATTTTTTAACTGAAATAAATCAAATTTAGGATGTTTAGACAAAAATTTTGCATCAACTTCTACTTTACCTGCTGCACACAAAACATAACATTTTCAGAAATACTGAACCTCAAAATATCCTTTGATTCTTAAACAGATTCCCTTACAGCCCAGCATTCAAAATTTAAGTTAAACAAATATAGGTGCAAATGAAATTATAGAAACTATATCATTTTTCAGTGCTCATTATCTTTATTTCCTGTGTTTATTTTTGAAGTATACTAATCAAAAGAGTTTCATAGCATTTATACCCAGCAATTTAAAAATAACTAAAGAACTATTTACATATTGGTTCCAGTCCAATGAGAGCTCCTCCCCCAGAGTAAAGATTCTCACTAATGATCCACTCCTGCAAAAGCTTGAGTGAATAAATAGACCCTGAAGCATGCCTGGAAGGTCAGCAGACAGATTCTGATGGATGGAGTGAATTCCAGAGCCTTGAACTCTGGGTAACACCATACCACAAGCCCCCTTGTTATCTGTCAACTTGAGTGCATCAATTGATCTCAACTGCTGTAGCACCACACAAGGATAAAGAGGCAGGCTCTAAGGTAGTAAGCACTCAAACTACACAGAGCTTTATTGGGAACAACCAAAGCCAACACTATGAATTGTACCCAGAAGCAAACCTGAATCCAGTGCAAGCTATGGAGAGCACAAATATAATGTGCTCCCTACATGAAGCTTCAAGAAGCAAGCATTCTGCAACAGCAGTTTCCCCCATAGCTTTTAGGGGTAGCCTCATCTACTGTTCATTGTACTAATCCAGTCTCTGAGCCTAAGACATAGATAACTGGTAAGATCTATATGTGAAAGAGAAGGCCACAGTTTGCAGGACAATACAGTGGCACAACTGCCACTCTTATCTAATACCAACCGTGGTCCCCGCAACAGGACCCCCAGTTCTCCTACTATATTGACAAAAGTTTGAAAATCTCCAGTTTAAAAAGTAAATGAGGCAGGTATCAACTCTCCTGTTTCCCCTAGAGCAGGGGTCGGCAACCTCGGTAAGCTGAAGTATGTGCTGGCCGTGGCTTCCCGCCGCCCCCAGCTTCCCTCCGCCCCCATTGGCCTGGAGCGGCGAACCGCGCTGCCAGTGGGAGCCGCGATTGGCTGAACCTGCAGACGCGGCAGGTAAACAAACCCGCCCGGCCCGCCAGGATGCTTACCCTGTATGATGTTATTAACACACCTTCTAAACCCCATAGCTGGGACCCTATCAAATTCAGGGTGCTTACCCTGGCGAGCCGCGCGCCAGAGGTTGCCGACCCCTGCCCTAAAGGCTTTCACAGCATCACCTCCATCATCTCTGGTTGAGCATCACCAGCTGCCTCTTATCCAAGCCCCAAAAATCATATCACAACCAGAACATCAGGAAATCCCTGACACAGGACTGGGGAATTACTATTATATTAGTTGATGGTGCTATTTTTTCCTGCTGCTGTATGAAGCTAATGCATTATGGATGGGTTTTGCTTTTCATATATCTACCATCAAACATTCCAACCAGGAAATGATCATCATTAGGCACCACATCAAATCTCTTCAGGAGGAGAGGAAGTATAGAGCATACCTCAGGCCTGCCAATGCTTCTCCGAACACGCGCCCCAACCCCTTCCGCCTGCTCAATGCTGAGAACAGTTTTGATAACTTTCCTCAGAATTACCATCCTTCCTCCTTCTGAAAGAAGATGCAGTTTCCAAGACTTCAAAAATCTGCACAGGGAATAGATAAGATTTTTAAATGTTGTCAATATTAGCTCTTGGAAAGTAAAAAAATCAAAAGTGCCCTAACACACAAACAGAGCAGCTAACAGCTCAAAACATTAACTGTAAATGACAGAAAATTGGCAAAAGACTATAAGATTTTGGTTTTACTTTAAATCCGCAAACAACCAACATGTTGCCTGTAGCAAAAGCCAAAACAGCAGATGGAGTTTCCATTTACTTAAGCTAAATAATTCATTTTTCCACCAAAGGAAAGTTGCACCTCATGCCTCAGGTACCCCCACAGCAGGTACAGTACCTTACTGCTCCCTATCTGGTGCAGGACCGCAATGCCTGCAAACCACAGATTGCTTTTCATTTAACTCCCTCTGCGCTGCACTTCACAGTAACTAACTCAGCATGAGTCAGCACAATCATCCCATCGCCTAGCAAAGGAGACGGGTCAGTCACATGCGGGGGGGGGGCAAGCCTGGGGCGGAGCAGAGCAGTGCAAGGGAGGTCCTTGCTACAGTCTGGCTGTGGGGTTTTTATGATGCTAATATTTCAGGAGTATTGATATCTCAGCCAGCATGCACACAGTCACACAAGCTCGTGGCGCTCAGTGAGAGTCACAGACACCCAAAAAGAACGAGGAGTCCTTGTGGCACCTTAGAGACTAACACATTTATTTCAGCATCAGCTTCCGAGGGTTAAAGCCCACTTCATCGGATCCCAGGAAGTGGGTCCTTGCCCACGAAAGCTTATGCTCAAATAAATTTGTTAGTCTCTAAGGTGCCACAAGGACTCTTCGTTGTTTTTGCTGATACAGACTAACATGGCTGTCACTCTGAACACAGACATCCAACTAGGCACAGGGATCAATGAACACAGTGACAGGATCCCAGCCCCACACACTGAGATGATACAACAAGAGATCAGTGACAACCACACACAGGCAGCCATCCCAGATGACGCATGCGCCGTGCGCGCTATCGCGCTGCCCGCCGCGGAGAGGCTCCCCTGCCCGCTCCCTGCAGTGACGGCTCCGCCCCCGGGGAGCGAACGGAGCGAGCGCTCCGCCTCCTCCCCCAGTTCGAGAGCGGGGCGGGGGAGTGAACGCAGCTGCCTATTGGCTGCGGCGCAGGGGAAGCAGGGGCGGGGCTTCAGGCCGTTCCTTCGCCTAGGGGAGCCGGGTTGGAGCCCTGACCCGCTCCAGAGTCATAGAGAGTCGGGGAGCGCCCGGCGGTGCCTCTCGCCACCCAGGCGGCGTCACAGCCGGGTCCTAGATTCACCCCTCTCCGGATCTGGGCCGGGGCTTCATTTACCCAGGAAGCCGCTCCGCCGGCGGCAGGGCAGAGGCTGGGTCTGCTCCCCACCCTGAGCTCCCTCTGCTTTTCCTAAAGAGCAGGGGGGAGAAAATTGCAAAACCAGCAATAAAGATTTGCACCAAAACAAACCACAGGGAAGAGAACCAGAACCTGGCAATCAAAGCCAACGAGCTGTGGCATCATGCACCCCTGTGTGCAGGCCCCCTGCATACTAGCGTAGTACATCTTCGTTCAAAGTGCGGCTCGTAAGGTGCCAGTTGAAAACTCATAATTTGCTGGTCACTATTGTGCTGGTAAAATATGTGTGGCAACATTGCATGTAAAGGTGCAAGGGTCACCTGTATGATGTTATTAACACACCTTCTAAACCCTATAGCTGGGACCCTACCAAATTCAGGGTCCATTTTGGTCAATTTCATGGTTGTAGGATTTTTTTAAATTGTAAATTTCATGGTTTCTGATATTTAAAATTTCATGGTGTTGTAACCCTGGGGTCCTGACCCAAAAAGGGTCATGGGAGGGGAGGGGGGTTGCAGGGCTATTGCCACCCTTACTTCTGCGCTGCTGATGGCAGCAGCATTGCCTTCAAAGCTGGGTGGCCAGAGAGTGGGGCTGGTGGCCAGGCATCTAGCTCTAAAGGCAGCGCTGCCACTGGCAGCAGCACAGAAGTGAGGGTCACATGAGTGGGGGGAGCAGGGCCAGCCTTATGGGCAGGCAAGTGGGTGACTGCCCATGGTCAGGGGTGCTGTGGTCCCCCGCATACACACATACCCAACCTAAGGCCCCTTTAATCCCTGAGTGCTAGGCCTGGAGCTGGGGAGGGGCCAGGCTGAGGAGGGATGAGATGTCCTCTTCCCTGCATTGGCTGCTCCCCGGGGGCTGGGCAAGACCTGCCTCTGGGAACCTCCCCTGGCTGCAGGAAGGTCCACACACACATGGCTTGGTGCACCTATCTCCCCCATGAAAGCTAGAGCCTGGCACACAGTAGGAGCCCCCAGCTGTGGCGCCCCCAGCCTTGCTCCTCCTCTACAATAGCTAGATTTCACAGCGGAGACCAAATTTCATGGTCTGTGATGCATTTTTCACGGTCATGAATTTGTAAGGGCCCTTCCCAGAGCCCTGCCCAGGAAGACATTGGCAAACAGGTCTGTCCTAGACAAAGAAAGGTGTGTGTGCCTTAATTTGCATTTAAGCAGTTAACAGAGTCCTCAAGCAGGAAAGGAAGACAAAGGAAATTCAAACAGGTAAAAAAAAACAACAGAGACCATCCTTTCATGTAGACTCAGTGGAGGAGGGGTCCTGACCTGAGAGTTTGGTCAGTAATCTGCTGGTATATGTGGTGGGAATTTTGTTTGAATCTAATATAGTTTGTTATATTAGGCATTAATAAACATCCTTATTCTTGTAACCATTTCTGATTTTTATGCCTCACTACTTGTACTCACTTAAAATCTATTTCTTTGTAGTTAATAAACTTGTTTTACTGTTTTATCTAATCCAGAGTGTTTAAATTGAAGTGTCTGAATAATTGTTTGAAATAATGAATTGACATATTATTCCCTTAAAGAAATAATGTACTTAAAATATTTATACTATCTAGGAGAGGGCTGGGCAGCTCAAGACATGCTGTTCTGGGGGGAAATCTGGGAGTGTGTTTGGGTCACCATGCAATATAACCAAGGCTGGTGAGAACCAGAGTGTAACCCAAGTGTGGCTGGTAGGCTGCAGTTACACACAGACTCTCAGGGTGTGGCTTGTATGCTGGAAGGCTGTTTGTGATTGGTCCAGGTGGGAGCTAGTCCAGTAAGGTACCCAAGATTGCAGGGCAGGGGTCACACAGCCCCCCACTGGTCTGTACTGTACCCTGATATGTCACACAAGCTGAAATCAAAATTGGAAATATCAGCCTAACTGTGTATTTCTGTTCCCTGCCTAGGTGCTGTTACTCCTAGAGGCAACACAACCAATCCCAAATTCTAAAGTAGAAGCTACTTTGTGCTCTTAATCTACTAGGACAGTGTTTCATAACCAGTGGGTTACACAAAAGGTAGTCAGGGTATCTCAAGGCATTGGAAATTATATCACACTCTAAAGCAAAGAAAGTATTACTCCCTTCCCCCTGCACACCCTCCCCCTTTGAGGTAAAGCAATTCCCTGCCATCTCTCCAACCATATACAGAGGCCTGATCTACACTAGAAAATTAGGTTGGCATAACTATGTAGCTCAGGGCTGTGAAAAATCCACACCCCTGAATGGTGTAGGTAAGCCAACCTAATTCCCCCTGTAGACAGCACTAGGTTGACAGAAGAATTCTGTAGCCTTTGAACTGTAGACAAGCCCAAATAAATATAGGCTTATCCTTGTTATCATTTATGCGTTTTTTAACTCTTACTTTTACAGTAAATGTTATGGGAGTGGGAGGGTTGCAAAAGATCTGACTTAGCAAAAGGGGCCACCATCATGGAAAGGATAACAATTACTGCACCCAGATAATGTGGTCTAGTGAACAGAGCAGTAGGTTGGCACTCAGAAGATCTGCATGCTATTCCTGGCTCTTCCACTGGCCTGTCGGGTGACCTGTGGCACGTCACTTCACCTCTTTGCTTGGATAATGATACTTAAGGGAAGTGTTATGGAATAGCTAGAAATTACTAATTTCCATTCAGATCAAATGGAGTTACATCATTCAAATTGCAGGCAGTAAGGAGCTCATGGTATTTTCCATATCCTTATTTATTTATTTTATATAAGAGGAAAAAGAAGTAAAAGTAAATATAACATTCTATATAAAAAACATGTTTTAAGATGTTACGAACCAGTGATAATTAAAACAAGAAAATAACCATTTCAAATAAATACCACATTGTGTTTATGTTCAAACTTTCCTGTTTGTCTTCTTCCTTTTTTCCTATGTCTGCTCCATAATTTTTCAAGTGAAAGGTTACAGCGTGACAAAAAAACAAAACTAGAACCCTGGTAAAACACCAAAAAATCATATCATTTCACTTGTGGGCTAAAAAGAAATAAAGGGCAGGGAAGGGACAAATAAAATTTCAAAAACTGAATTTTTTAAAGGAATCTTTGTGGTATGGTGAGTGGTATCATTCTTTGTCTATATTTGCCACTGAGAATAAATCTCTGATGGAGTCGGCAATGTGTCAGGCAAGTACAATGGAGCACTACCTTTATTACCAGGAAGCAGCCCCTAGCATTATTTGGTAACTGTTTAATGATGAACTAGCCTGTAATATCTATTTACTAATTAGTAAATTTAAAAAAAAAATTTTTTTGCTTCAGGGCATATGGCAACCCACTAACTGATAGGAATTGGATGGGCAAGTTATTCCATATTTGTCCACTAGAGAGTTTCTCACTCCTCTAACATGATACTGGTTTTCGACAGACAGGATCCTGAACTGGATGAACCACTGGTCTGACCCAGTATGTCATTTCCTATGTAAAAATATACCCTACCTAGAGCCCATAACTTTATAAGTTTTACAATATGTTTATTTCCATATAATCACAGAAAAAAATGTTATAATTTGTATTGTATAAAGAAAATAGTTAAATTAAAGGTACTCTATTTACACAGAATTGTGCAAAAGTACATTTATGGAACATGAGAGTCTAATGCTTAAAGGAGACTTTATATTGAGACAAATCTGGCAGTGCTTACTCATTTCTTACTCAGGGCCCAGACGTGGCGTGTTCTATTAAATCAATGGTAGTTTTGGCAATTACTTCAATGAGAGCAGAATCAGGCCGTGAATGAGCTCCTGGCCCTTCCTTTTTTGGATCAGATGTTATGTCCACAACCAATTTTATTATCAGTGGCTTCTGCTTACTGTTTCAGCTGATGCGGTTCTTAGTTATCATTAAGTCATGTCCTGTGTCAATTAGAATCCCAGTCTTACATAACTAATATGATCATTAAATTCTGGGAGTTGGGTGGTTGTCCAGATATATTCAGCCCACAGATATTGAAAGAATTCTACACAGATCACCCTGGATAATTCCAAGACAAAGGGCCTATAAATAATGCAGGTATTTCAAAAACTATAACCTAACTCAGGACCCAGATGCCACATTTGAGATGGCAACCCTATTTGGGGGCTAATTTTCTATTTGC